ATCCGAGCGGAGCCATTCCACATCAAAGGCATATCACAATGCGAGTGCAAAATAAATAAATTCAATTTACATCTGCTAGCTACAGGGGACCATTAAACATCTCAAATTAATGCTCTTCCCCCTGTGATCTACAGTGTGGCCACGAGGCTTGATTAGATACAGTGGAGGCCAACATTTTGTCACAGCAGTTGTACAGAGTCAGCTTATGACCAGTGCGGGGCTTGTGTGTTGGATTAGCTGAGCAGGAGCAGCAGAGGAAATAGTACGTTCTACTGAAGTACAGGCACTGATGGTTCTGCTGAGATTTTTATTTCTAGCAGCACTACAGTTTATTTATTTTTAAAATATCTACATATCATTGAAAAACCACAATAAAAAATTATAACCTTGTGTATATGACATCAGATGGTTTATTACCTCCAGTATGATACCAAGTATGTCGTTCAGTATGCAGTATTAAACTTCTTATGTATGTTGAGCTGTATTTAAAATAAGGTTTTTGCATCCACAGTTTTAGTTTCCATTTCATGTCAGTTAGTTCGGTATGCTACAGTCGGACTTAAAGATCCAACCTGACTGAGTAACTCCACCTTTAACACTCTCAGGACACTCATTCCTTCTGAAGGTTACAGTTAGTTTAAGTCTTTAAAGTTAAATAGAATTTCATTTCAGCCACTCACCGCATTGGAAATTAACATTAAAAGCACTCAGCAGCGACATGTTCCAGAAACTATGTCCTAGTTAATATAGATAGTCCACAGACAACACTAAACAGGGTAATTGGAACCACTTTTGGAATATTGTAATTTTAGTTGTTGCTGCAGGAGGGTACTCTGATTTTCAGGGAAGAGCAGGAGGATCTTTTTACTTTCTAAGTCTATTGCATTATCGCCTCACACATGTACACAAACTGAGGATGAATGTTCAGGTAATTAAGTATCCCCAGATGCAGTTAGCAAATTGGTCGTCCCAATAGACACATTAATGGGACATAAACAGGAATGATCCTTTAAAGTATAACAGCACAATAGGCTGCGTCTCATGGTGCTGCTGGTTCTTCTGATCACTGAAACTAAATATGTGGACTGTGGCCTTTTTAAGTTGCAGCTATAACGAATACAATCAATTTAGTCTTTTCTGCAATGCGCAACCTCATTACACCAAACACTTTATCATTCCTTCTTTTACAGTCGGCTCAGCTGGCGCACTGGTTTGGCCATTTTGGGAGTTTTCTGTGGTATTCACAGTATTCATGTTCTCTGTTTTCTGGTCACTGAGGTGCCACAGCCTGAGTGGGAGGTCCTGCCTGTCTGGGGTGCTTGCCTCAGTTTGAGCTCTTTCTCTCTCCCTCTGTCCTGCTTGCAGCTGCGACCTCACAGCTCCTCTTACCGCACTGTGACAATGCATCCACAGTCTCATAACTGATGGTGGGGATTAATACACTCCAGCTACCTCTTTGCTGAGTTCATAAATAGTCTTTTGCTGGCAATTTATGTATCCATTTCCAGTTTTGTCACAGTTCTTTGGCCGGGTTATGCCTTTTTATCAGTGCAGCCCCCTTTTGAGGATGGAACTATTTTGCAATAATCACAAGCTCATAACGTCTGCATCACTGTACTAAATCACACCTAATTGGTTTAAAGCTTTTATTATGGAAAACAGTCGCACTGGCCAAATTAACACTGTACAGGAGGCCTAGATGACCTATTTACTGAATGGATTTTGAGAACTAGAAATGTCTGATATTTGAAGATGCAATGTAGGAAATATCAGTCAGTCAATGATGCAATGGAAATTCATTGAAAAATGTAATTCATTCAAAAACAAACAAACAAAAGAAAATGTGCAGTTTGGAAATAAAGTGTCTGCTGTATGAAACATCTTTTCTGGAACCCTCAAGCAGCAGGATGCGGTCAGGTGCAGGAGACTGAACTGCAACTTTCATAGTCGAGGATTAAACCTACAAGTTCAGTTATCAACACACCAGCACACACCACTTTGACCAACCTGCTGCTTTAACACTGTGACATCAGTGTAACAATTCTACCATTTGTCCCACATAAAGACATGAAACTCATTGAATTAATTTGAGTGGAAAAAAGGTGCAGTTAGACTGTGATAATAAAGCTTATTGGCTCTCTAATAGAATGAAAAAGTCTATTTTTTGGATGGCTTTTACACAGTGACTCTCGTAATATGAATAACTTTACAACTTTTACTGCTGTTCCTGCTTACTTCTTCTTTGTATCACTATGCCACCTGTGGAATGGTTGCACTATTTAAAACTCTTTCCTGGGTTATTTTTTTTTTTAAGTTCTTTTTTTGGCCTTTGTTGGATGGTTTTAGTGAGAGAGAGACAGGAAAGTAGGGGAGAAGAATAGGGGGACAACATGTGGGAATGGGTCATGAGCGGGATTCGAACCCACGACCTCCACATTGGGACTGTAGCCCCGCACATGGGACGCCAGCTCAACCAGGTGAGCTGTAGCGGCGCCCTTTCCTGGGTTCTTTGACTCCGACTAGTTCACAAAATATATGTGTTAACACATTAGATTCTTCCAGCTGTTATGGTCATTTTAAAAAGAAACCCTGCCGAGAACCTTCTGTCAAAGTGTCTGACAATCAAAACATGCTCCAGTACAGCAATATTTTAATATTTTCATTCCTGTTGCTGTGTGCGTTTGCAGCTTTTATTTTGCCATTTATCCCTCTTTTTTAGAAAACACGACTATCCATGACGCTAGACAGTACGCTAGATCAACTTGTACCCTCTAGTATGAAAGAAAAAATGACAGCAGGGCTTATCAATAACCTTCCATTAAAGCCAAAACATGATAAATGGCCATATGGTCTAAGAAGACACAACAAAGTGATGTAGCATATAGTGGACTTTTTACCGCTCTGAGGCAATTTGTCTCTGTGAAAGCTCCCTGTTAGCACCAGTGTTATGATGCCACAATGCTACGATGATGGCTCTTTTATCTCTTTTCTTGTCTCCAGTGAGCCTGTGAGTTTCATAGTTTTTGGTTGGCCTGGATATTAATAGCTACAGCTGACCATGATAATGACTAGCTCAGGGAGTCATAGGATGCAGCTCCAGCAGCTGCTGCTATGGTAGCACGAGCCTGGGATGTTGCTTTAATGAGAAATACTATAAAGACCAACACTGCTCTTCTTATCTCTATTTCTGTGAGACACTATAGAGCCGGTGAACATCCCTCAGCACTAACGCAGTGTTGGAAGCAGTCGAGGTCGTAGGTTGTCATTTATTGGCCTATTTAATCTCCCTACATATTTCCTCGCCTGAGGCACAGTGCTGTCCCCAACAGACAGAATCAATAGCAGCACTACTGCCAAGCCATCCGAGGGCTAACAATAAAACTAGGACAATTACAGTGAGATGGATCAGAGTCTTTAGCAGAAATATATTATTAATGTGTTTGGCCAAACTCCAGGAGGCTGCGAGGAGACAGATCAGTGGCAATAAAGAAGCCGGTTAGTTAACTGGTCACCTGAGAGCCAGCCTGGACATGTTGCCCACATGTTGGCAGTGATTTCACAGTTCTTAATACAAGAGTGTGTACAGCACACAGATCCAGCAGGTGGTAGCCACAGGGGGAACACTGGCACACTAAATGTCACTGTAGATTTTATAGTCACCATTTGTGGTTTTATTTACCTCTGTTTTAACAGACAGCTTAATTAAAAACTTGGAAAGTCGGATCCTGTGGGGTTTCTGTCAAATTCACAAAAATAAGCTCCTATAAATACAGCATGAGAATTCATACAGAGCAGTGGCTTCTGGTGAATACTGGAACACAGTTAGAGGAGCAAATGATTGGTTATGGACAATAAATACACAAATGTGACTGCTATTTATTAACCGCATTAAATGATATGTTTAAGGGAAAGCATTCTCTGGGAGTTTTCAGAGTAACAGATCTGAGGTGTGGATGTTTGCTGAGATTTCTGGCAGTTGACGGTTGAAATTGTGCAACACCTTTGATTGTTGGCTGCCTCTCAAGTGAGGAAGTCCTTCTCCAGTCATTGATTAAACCCCCACAAGATCATATCTGGGTTTCTAAATTACATAATTAGAAGTGGGTTTATTTTCCTGTGAAATTATACCTTCCTGCTGTTGATCTGAGAAGATCTCTACTCACTGCTCCCTGCTCACTGCAGCTCAGCACACCAGCTCACCTACTAATCTGCTCAAACACTGTAAATTGAGTCTACACTACATAATAGGAAGTTGCAGTAATGAACTAATTCAGCTGTTTGAACTGGGAACTGATTCACCTACAGTTCAAACTGAAAGGGTTGCTTCATTTGCTGTTGAGGCAAACTCAACCTTCAATTTAAAAAAAAATATGAATGAAATTGAATGAAACTGTAACAGTGCAGATGTTTTACAACACCTCTCTCTACTGCTAATGTGAAACATGTACAGGATGTTTTGTATTGTTTGGACAGTAGCTCAAAACCTGAGGAAACGAGATGACAAAGTATTTCTTTGTGAGTGGCCTTTATTTGTCCTCTTCTCTCGGCAGATATTATTCAGTGCTAATGTAAGTCGTGTTGAATCATCTTATTTCTCTAGACGCTCAGTAACTAAAGTGAGTGAATGTGCTACACTTACACGCGCTCACATCAAAAACCTTCAGGCGTCTGGAGGCTCTTCGCTCCGGGTTCAGCTACTTGTTGTACTGCTATAAACAAATCCCACCTTCACCTGTTACCAAAACCATTTTTAGCCTCAACAAGACCTTTTTCCTTGGAGCTTATTGAAGGCTGTGCAGGAAGCCCTGTGTGACACCTGAGCAGCTCGATCAGACTTCTTTCAGCCTGTGAAATCAAACCTAGCTCTGGTTAGGATATCATTCCTTTTTTTTAGTTTAATTCCTACTCCCTTTGCGTTGATTCTGCTGTTTCTGTCTTTGCACCTCTCTATCTGTGTCTCTGTGATTCTTTCATTTCTGTGTCTATCTGTGTCTCTGCAGCCTTCGTGTTGAGCTGTGTCTTCCCCCAGCGACCTCTCTACGGTGATGTATCAGTGAGCAGTCTCCACTCTGGAGGGGAGGCTTTCTTCTCCTGTCTGACCGGCTACCAGCTTCAAGGCCCCAGTGTGCTGACCTGCCGCAATGCTAGCACCCCCTACTGGAGTGGCAAGGAACCACACTGCCTTGGTAAGGTCCCAACAACCACTAGCAGTTTAAATATTTGCAAAAAAAATGTCACCGCATTTCATTCTACATGAAGCTAAATACATATTTAATCATCAATTACATACATTTCTTTTATAATTAGAAACCTGCGCAGATTAATGCAAGTGTTCCAGCTGCACATTAACGATCCAAAGCAGTGTTTTATTATTAAATTGTATGAGTCAGTATTTCTGACATATTGTTGGCAGTGCAGAATTCAAAATGGAAAACAAAAGTCCATATAGACTGCATCTTAAATACTGACGACTTTCAATTTCAGGTTTAGTAATTTTGCAGTTAATGTGTTATTTCAATTTACTTTTTTGTTAGAACATTAAAAAATATATATACTTAGTAGAACTAGTATATTAACTGGTATATGAAGGTAATTTATTATTAAGTAGCATAATATCTACTTATAGACCAATAATTTTATTTATAATATCCCTACAATTGTAATTCATTTTTATTCTGGCATTATTTATTTTATAAATCTTGTGTCCTATTGTTCTAATAATACATTTATTATATGGATGCTATTATATGTGATGTGTATGACAGAAAACAAAATACATAGACTGTGTTTTTATGATAATAGGTGATAAATACATGTTACTGTGCCAAATCCATAAACCAACATTTCTTTACTATTGTTGCGATATAATTAATACTAATACAGACATATTGAATGAGAGGAATACAAAATAATTCTTTATAGACAGAAAACAGAAATAATTTACAAAACCAACCATAAATTTACAAAAGCAATGTCTTTCTTTGCAGTATTAACTTTTTTTTTGTTATTAGCATAAACATAATGAGCCTTTCATTGTACATACCTTGTATACATATATTGGTTAATTACATGATTAAAACAAACATTTTTAGTTATTTATCATAGTAATGTATTTGGAAGTTACATGTGTGTTTACAGTATTATTATAAGCAATTTGTATTTGTACAGTTAGTGGCAGCTTTGTAACATTTACATTATAAAGGGTAGTTTCTGGACATTTTTGTTCCTGTCATGTTTCATCACTGAGGCCTCATTTTTCACTGTAATATAAAATACTGCACATCTACGAAACTGCAAAATCCTCTATGTTTTTTGTGTTATTGTGTAAGTCATAAAGCACCACCCCCCAGCCCTGAATGTTTGTCACATGACTGTTGGTCATGTTGCTCAATTGCTCAGATGTGCTCAGAATTGTTTGCCTTTTTCAGAGAATGATTGTAGT